ACATGCATAGTATCCTATTATTGGTGGAAAGAAATATTATGTTATTTTTATTGATGATCATTTAAAATTTTGTTATATTTACTTGTTAAATAATAAAGATGAAGCAATAGAAAAGTTCAAAGTTTATAAAGTAGAAGTAGAGTTGCAAAGTGAGACATTTATCAAATGTCTAAGAACTGATAAAGGTGGAGAATATTATGATCCATCTTACTTTGAATCCATTGGAATAATCTATGAAATAACAATCCCATACGAACCTTAACAAATGGGTGTGGTAGAAATAAGAATAGAATTCTAACTGAAATGGTGAATGCCATGCTATCAAATTCCAAATTAAGTCAAGGTTTTTGGGGCGAGGCATTGCTAATAGCATGCCATATATTGAACAAGGTGCCTACTAAAAAGAGCCAAGCTATTCCATATGAACTTTGGAAGAAAAGAAAACCAAACCTTAAGTATCTAAGAGTTTGGGGTTGTAGAGCAATTATAAGGGCACTTGAACCCAAAAGGAAAAAGTTAGGTGAAAAAGGAATTGAATGTATTTTTTTGGGGCATGTAGAAAATAGTAAGGAATACTAGTTCATGGTCATTGAACCAAATGATTCAATTAATGTCAATATCATAATTGAATCAAGAGATGTTATCATCAAAGAAAGTAGATTTAATTCAATTCCTAGACCTAAAGAAACACTTGTTGAAAGTTCAAAATAAAGAATAAAAGACAACTTGCAAGAAGACTAGGTGGAAGAAAACATTGAAATTAAAAGAAGTAAAAGAGCTAGAAAAGCAAAAACACATGGTCCAAAATTTTACATGTTTCTTATTAAAGGAACAAGAAAAAAGATAAGGAAAGTCATTAAATTTCATCATAATATAGAAGTTAATCCTGTGATATTTGAAGAAGCAATAAAGTCACAAGATTCAACATTTTGTATAGAAGCCATAGATGAGGAAATGGGTTCCATAATGGGGAATAACACATGGATCTTAGTGGATCTCTCACCAGGTTACAAACGTATAAGTCGCAAATAGATTTTCAAAAAGAGACTAAAAGTTAATGGTACAATAGACAAATTCAAGGCAAGATTAGTGGCAAAAGGCTATTCACAAAGGCATGGAATAGATTATTTTGATATCTATGCTCTAGTAGCAAGGATTGCTACTATAAGAGTGTTAATTGCTTTAACATCAATTTACAAATTGGTAATTCACCAAATGGATGTTAAAACACCATTTTTAAATTGTGAATTAGATGAAGCAATCCACATGGAGCAACCAAAAGGGTTTGTGATGCCTGGTCAAGAAGAGAAATTTTACAAGCTTAGAAAATCCTTGTATGGACTTAAACAAGCCCCTAAACAATGGCATAAAAAATTTGATGAAGTGGTGCTTGCTATTGGCTTCAAATTAAATGAAGTGGATAAATGTGTTTGTAGCAAGTTTAAAAATGGGTAAGGCATTATTAGATGCCCATATGTAGATGACATGCTCATCTTCAACACTACCTTAGAACAAGTTGAAGAAACCAAAAGGTTTTTTTCTAGAAACTTTTCCATGAAAGACATGAGTGTTGCTGATGTGATTTTGGGAATAAAAGTACATAGAGATGATGATAATTTTATTCTATCTCAGTCCCATTATATAAAAAAAGTCTTGAAGAAATTTAATTTTTACAATTGTGCAATTGTTTCTACACCAATTGATTCTAATGTAAGGTTGACATTTAATGATGGAAAGTCAATTGCACAATTATAATAGTCAAGAGTGATTGGATGCTTGATGTACACAATGATTTGCACAAGACCAGTTATAGCACATGTTGTTGGGAAACTTAGTTAATACACAAGTAATCCTAGTTCCTTACATTGGCAAAGAGTACATAGAGTCATGAAATATCTTAAGAAAACTATGTATTATGGCATTTGCTATAATGGTTATCCTTTCATACTAAAAGGTTTTATGGATGCTAGTTGGATCATGAAGATCATAAATCCGCAACTAGATGGATTTTCATGCTTGGAGGGGGTGCTATTTCTTGGGGATCCAATAAGCAAACTTGCCTAACAGACTCCACGATGGTCGCTGAGTTTATTACTTTAAACTTTACTTGTAAAGAAGGGGAATGGTTAAAAGATTTATTATATGAAATTCCTTTATAGGCAAAGCCAATGTCCTCAATCTCAATATATTGTGATAATGAGGCTACATTAGCAAAAGCTCATTGCCAAGGATATAACGAAAAGTCTAGATATATTGGTCTAAGACATCATTATGTAAGGCAATTAATTGCCAATGGGGTAATCACTATAGAGTATGTAGAGTCTAGTGGAAATTTAGTAGATCTTTTAGCAAAAGGATTAACAAGAGAAAAAGTATATAAAACATCAATAGGAATGGGTCTCAAGTCCATTGATAAAAGTCACACCCAATGAAATCTTACCAAATGTTGATAAAAACTTCAAGTCTTAAGTTTAATGAGTAAAGTACATCATATAAATGTGACTACAAGTACTCAATCTATAAATAATACCATCCCGAGTGAAAGAATACTTGGTAGCCGTATAAAACAAAGTAGAGGTTGTGTTTTGCTCTTAATAGGTCCTACAATAAATTTTTGTTAAGGTGCTTAATGTAAGGGCACTTTTGATGGGATCTACATATATGAGTGGAAGTGGTGTTGCTTCTTGGAGTTCAGGACTTGCCTCTTATAGAACTCATGAAAAGGGTAGAAGACACATGACCAGTTTTTGTGTTAATGAAGGCTAAATTTGTTCTTGTGAAAGCTTAAAGTCTTGTGTGTAACATGTGTCCAATTAGTCACTTAGAATCATTGGTTCAAAGTGTTGTACCTATGATTTTGATGATTACAAAACACATTTGAGTGACTAATTAGATCATTTAAGTGTGTAGTTAAAATGTCAAAAGATTACAAAGTAAACTTGGACTACACTAAAAATGGACCAAAAGGCTTGAAAATGTGCAAAGAGCCAGCTGTTGAAACTTGCAACCGGCTGTGGAAGTGCAGAGAGTTGGCTCTGGAAGTTGCAGCTGACTCTACAGGTAAAAACTTAAAAGTCAATTGTTTGGCGTGCGCGGAGAAAAGACGTAAAGCCGGCTCCAACTTTGCAACCAGTTGTGAGGGTGCTTTTAATGCACAACGGTCTAGTTATTTGAAGATTATTTAATGTGTTTAAAATTGGAATCCCAAAGCCGACTTTATGATTTGCAGTCGGCTATGTAAGAAAACAGAATGTGCAAGAAACCCACAAAGTTAGTTGTAGAATTTTTAAGCTCGCTCTACGGGAAAAACAGAATGTAGGAAACTCGTAGAGCCAACTGTAGGAAAGTTGAGCCAGCTGTGAAGAGCTGGTTCTAGAAGTGTAAGCCGGCTATATTGAGAATTTTGTAACTCGAATTAAGCGACTTGCAGAGCATTAAATGACCCCCAACAGCTAATAACGACTATTTTTGACTATGGGGTTATAAATATGGTTGATAGAAGATCTGGAATAAGTTTAGAGAGTATTGCATTGAATATCTTTACCTACCTATATAAACTTTAACTTGAGTTTTTGATCTTTTAGAGATCTTTACTTGTAATCATCTTCTTATTCTATTTGTGAGTGATCTTGGGGGTGTGATTAATCCTTCAAGAATGATTTATAGAGAGGATTCTTGAGGTTTATCTTGTAAAGGGGTGAGATTTGAGAGAAACACCCCTCTTCTTGTAAAAGGATTGAGTGGCTCCTTTAAGCCACCCTTGATTTTGTTAGTAGAAAGTGTGGAGGAAATCCCTGGTGTGTGAAGCCAAGGTAGAGGACTAGGTTTCAAGTGGTTGGATTGAACCTTTATAAAATCATTGTGCAAGCTCTTCTTCCCTACTTTCTCTTTGATTTTTGTTTGGTGGTTGCAAAGAGGTGAAAAATTTTCAAACCCAATTCACCTCCCCTCTTGGAGTACATTAAGTCAACTCAAAGCATGGGTCTACCATTCAATTTTGACTAACTTGCCAACACATGTTCACTAGGTGAAAGGTTCAAATCGTAAGATACCTTCATGTATGCATAAGATTTCCAAAACAATTAGTGAGCTGTTCAATTTTGAAAATGGTGGAGCAATGTTGAAGAATTTTCAAAATAGCTCCAAGATGTGGATAACTTTGAAAAGGAAAGAAACACGTAAGTTGGAACTCAAATCAAACCAAATAACCTTTGGAAGAGTTTTCAACTGATAAACTTACAAACTTTAAAAATTTTCAATCAATAAATTGAAAAGGAGAACATGCATCTTACCCCTATTAAATAGAGTTATCTCATCATTTTCTTTGTCTCTTAAACACAGAAAAATCCCTACTATTATTTAAATAAAATAGTCCTTCTGATTGCTACAAAAATCGCTATATAAAAATTATAGTTTTGTCACTTTCCAAAGGATGATTTAGTGGTTGATCTTACGTGGTTAATCTTGCTAGTACAAAAGTAAGATCAACAACACACTTCCTTGTATTTTATGGGCATTTTGGTATTTGGATTACTCTTTTTTGTGTACCAGATCTGGTGGAAGTAACATTAGCTTAAAAGAAAATGACATTTACAGTACGTTTTAAAGCCTTTTGATAGATTTTTTTACCTTATGTATTTAATACATACAAAATTATTTTTTTAAATTTATCTATATTTAATTTTAAATAAAAAATAATAAATTTTTAATAAATATTTTATGCAATAACACAAAAGTGTGCCAATCAATCTTCCAAACAAGAAATATTAGCAGAAAGGGACTGGCAGACACCCAAAAAAAGAAAAAGATATATATATATATTAGCAGAAAGGCAACCATGATACTTATGAGTTGATAGATGGATTGACAACAAACATTTTCAGTTTAATCAAACATTTTTAGTTTAATCAAAGGTCTTGATTTTAAATTTTGAGAATGCAGTTTTGTTAAAACTTGTGAGGGAAAGTTTTGCCACATATTGGATTCTAATTGGTTCAAATTCAGATTAATCCTTGGCCCAATAAACTTCTGGTGGTCCATTAAAAAAAAAAAAAGCAACATGATTAATTATTTTCGACGTTACATTGAAAATGATTATTTTCTAGACAACAGTAGTTTCGTTGACAACGAAACTGCATCGTCCATTAATTAATTCGGCATTACGCCAAAGTGGCCAGCTTCGGAGATGAGAGGAAATCTTTTATGATGACGTACATGGCCTTGGCCCTTGAAACATCCAACAATTCCACCCCGTGATAACCGCCGACGGTGAAATGTCCCACCACTTCCACGCCCTTCTCCTCCATTAATTTCACCAGCTCCTTCTGACGATCAACGAGGAGGTCCCCCTCACACCCAATTATAACGACCCTCCATCCTTCTGATTTAACCTTTACCAAAAGCTTTGACCCACCCTCCACCATCGGATTGCAAAACTCGTGATCCCGGTCTGCCCCGGCCGGCAGGGACAGGTCCCACATCATGTCTGCCACGGCTAGTGGGAAAACCGGAACATTCATATTCCTCAATTCCGACCCGCTTCTCTGGACCCCACTAAAGAAAGGCTGATGCAGTATCAGCCCTCTGATTCGTAACGGCAACAGCTCATCAACCACCGTCGCCGCTCGCAATCCCGCGTGATAGGCGATGTTACCGCCAGCACTGGTACCCATCAGGAAACAGTTTGAAAAATCGGCGTATTTTACCAGCCAATCTTCTGAGCTGGATTTGATCGAGTACAGCGCTTCCACAGCATCATCATAAGCCGCCGGCAGACGATGTTCGGGAGCCAGCCGGTAGCCGGTAGATACGATGACAGCAGGAATTTCCGCGGCGATGTTGACGCAAAAATCATGACAATAGATCGAGTCGACACTCGAGAGTATGAACCCTCCGCCATGGTAATAGACTATGAGGGGTAACTTGGTGGCCGGCGGGGACAAAAAATCAAGCGCTTGGCGGGGTAGGTAGATGCGAGCCCGAGTGCTTTTTGAGGGATTGATAGGAATGTCTTTGGAGAGGACTGGGGTGGGGTGGTTGGGATCTGGAGTGGCTTCAACAGTCAGGTACACGGCGGGGTTGCGCGAGAGGGTGCCGTCGGGATTGAGGGTGAGGTGGAGGAGTTTGAATGGGTCGATTACCAGAGGTTGGGGGACGGTTTGAGCTGACATCTTTGGTTTTGGCAATGAATGGTGATTAGGAATGAATTCACTTTGCAGGTCTGGCTTTAAGATGGTTCAAAGTATTGAACGTGGCCAAATCTAGACCTAATTATAAATTGTTCATAAAATTATAAAAAAAAAAAAAAAAAAAGAGGAAAAAGTAGTGCTCAAAAAAGTTCTAAAACTTTAAAAAAGTATTATAATAAAAATATTGTGAAATTATCTTTAACAACAAATTAAATTTGTAAAAAAATATAGTTAATTTAGTTAATTCTCAATTTCTAAATAACAAATAATCAGATCATTTTGTTCAAAACCTTTGTCATTAACCAGCTACCTTGATAAAAAATCAAGAAGAGTTGTTTAAACAAGTTCAAAAACTTCAAAAATTAATTCTTGGTTTGAATGGGTGAAACCCCTTTTACTTAAAATTCAAACTATAGAGAAGTTTTAAAAGAAGCAGGAAAATTAGGAAATCCTTACTGATTAACCGATTTTCAACCCTTAGCAGTCCAAGATCAGGTATTCGTAGGACAGTAAAATATCCAAATTATTTTGCTATTACGAATTCTAAAGAACTAGGAAGAAATCTTAAGTGAAATAAAAGACATAAAAAATCTCTTGAAAGACACTCACTTAAGAACCGTAGAAATATGTCAAGAGGCTAAGAGACAAGATCTTCTTCAAGAAGCAAGTGAGAAAATGGATCTAGAAAGAACCATTAACATAAAAGAAGATCTTAAGCAAATAAAATCCACTCTTTCGTCTTTATCCCAAATAAAGGCTAAAGAACTTGAGTCTCAAAAAATTACGCTGTGTTACCTTAAAATCTAAAAATCATGGAATCATCTAAAATCACAGGCAACCCTCTGATTAGGATGTTTTCTAAGGAAAAACAAATTTAAGAATCTGTAAAAGTCGAAATTTTAATAGATCTTGAAGAACAAATAAAAAGATTTAAAACTAATAAATTTGACTTGGTCAAACCCAAGTATCTTTATAAAAATACCAATTTCTTGTTTAATGCTAGATCAATCTTTCAGCATTATCAGGAAGTTCAAATATTCTATGTCAAAGATAGTGATAGTGTTACCCTAAGATTGTTAAGTGAAAATGGATATTTTAATCTCAAAAGAATGAAATATTCATTGGTCCATATAGGGTTAATCACTATAGAAGTCAAAACACTTCACAGAAAGGATTTAGGTACAAAATGCCTTTTAACTCTTTTAGACACAAGACATTAGGATATGATTCAAGCCCTCATAAGATCTATCGAAATAGACCTGTCTGAACAAGGGGGATTTGCAGATTTTACTCCCAATTTCCAAATGAACATAAAAGCCTTCAAACAATGTTTAAAAGTAGGAATCATGACTAAAGGCTATTCCATGGCTGAGGGAGAGAAAAATCTTTTAGTCTGCATAGGATTCACTGGTCAAATAACTCATAATGGCACAACCAATTATAGAGTAACTAGTGAAGAAATTTGTGAAATATTTGGGACAAAAGGAATTAAAGCCATTCAAGCTAAACATTTAGATTCAACCTATCTAAATGAAACTAAATGGAACATAATTAAATTCCTCAGCAAACCCATAATGGTACCCACTTGAAATACCTTATATCAAAATTATAAGGGAGAAATGAGTTTGAGTTTTAATGATTATGAAAATATTCTTCCTGAACAGGAAGAAAATGAAGCAACAATTGAAATCAAGATGTTACACTTCACCGAAGAAATTGAAAATGAAGAAAGTGAACCTTCTTGGCTTCAAACCTTAAGAAAAAGGGAAGAACATGTTGCAAAATAGGGACCAATCAAAGACAAATATAATGAAGAATGAGAATTTATCGAAACTTATTTTTCCTCAAAAGGACAAGACGTTAATGCTGAAGAAGTCTTAACACTGAAATATTATGGAGAAGACATAGAAGATCAAATCCTAGATCTAAAACTTCCAGTTGAGGCTTACTTCAAGAATAAAAAACCAATACTTCAAATTATTTGTGAATATGAAGCCCAATAGGAAAAAATATTCATGAATGTAACCCTTGGAAATCCAAATCCAACTTCAAATCCTAACCAGAACCCTAGTGCTCCAACCAGATCTAAAATTGAAGAAAACTCTAAAACTCCAAGCACTTCTAGAGTCTTCAGTTCTAGAACATATTAGTTAGGAGGAAGATATCCCATACCTCAAGCAACACTTGAGTATAGGGACGAGAATAGAGAGAGGATACAATTTGGTAAAAAAATGGAAATTGACCCAAACCAGTTACCTACCGCAAAACAGCAAGGGACCATTCAAGAATTACTAAGTTGGAATCCACAACTTTGGGTAGAAATGATAGATCAGTGGGAAAGAGATACTTGCCGAGCATGGATCAATCGATCTATGGATGGTGAGATGTTCAAATTCCTAGAAACACTTCTAGGCCCAACTATAGAATTGTACTGGAATACCTTTAAAAGAGAGAACTCAACCTTAGTTGCTGAAACACAAGACTTGGGGGAAAATCGTACACTTTTACCTCTTTAATAAAAAAGATGTTCTTAGGATCTGATGTAACTTTTGATTCTGAAAGAGCTTTACAAAATAAAGCTATTGAGGAACTTGAGGTCCTTTAGTTAACATCTTGGTATCAAATCGAGTCTTTCTGCAATGATTTTCTTAAACTCGTTGCTAGAACAAGACAAGGATTTGATGACAACCTAAATAACATAATCTTTGATAAGCTTCCAAGCACCCTTGGTAAACAAATCAAAGAAAAATGGCTAGTTTCTAACCCTGCACCTCGATAAGGAGCAAGCCTTAGGATTTTGTTCATATATAAAATATTAAGAGAAAAATGTGTAGATATTCAAATCCAAAAATCTCTTAAAAAGCAAAAATTTGGTTTTTGTAAATCTGTAATTAGGGGGCATGGTTCTTCAAAAGAATCATATAATAGGAGGAAAAAATATAAAAAAACCAAAAAAAAAAGGTCCTCAAGCAAAACCAAAAAAATAAAAAAAAAAAGAAAAACATATTCTCTTAGACCTAGTAAAACCTTCAAAAAAGGAAAAACTGGTAAAAAAGAGAAATATATGAAAAAACCCAAAAATCCAAAGAAAGACAAAAAAATGCTATATATGTGGAGATCTAGGACATTATGCAAATAAATGCCCAAACAAAAACAAACCAACATAAAGATCTCACATATGGGCAAATCTTGAGGAAGAGGAAGACATCGTCTCTATAAGCGGATACGAATCTGAAAGTGATGTCTACAGCATAATTTCAGAAGAGTTGTTTATAGAAGATTTGTCTGAATCTCATTCAGAATTTGAAAAAGATATAGATTCTGAAGATCAAAATTTTCAATAATTTATAGATTCTCTTAATCAAAAACTAAACAGTGTAAAAATCATGATGATCAAAATTGATTCTAACTGCAAACACTTATGGAAATTGAATCAACCACCATAATGGGAAAAATGTTTAGATTGTCATAGGTACACCCAGCCTTCTACAAAAATGAAATGTACAATATGCTCAAAGGTATATTGTATATTTTGCCACAAAAAAAATAAAAGAAGAGATTAAACAAGTACAACCTTCAAAACCTGTAAATCAAATGAACATCCCTGCATCAAATCAAGAACAATTAATTAGAGATGTAGAAAAATTGTCTCTATTGCAAGAAATGAAATCAATGAATGAAACTCTCAATGAAAAGATAAGTACATCTTGCAATTAGAAGAACAAATCGAATTTCTCCACCAAAAAATAAAAGAAACTAGAGAAACAATTAGCAAAAATTTCTCTCAAAGGAAAATATGTTATTGAACAAATGGCAGATAAAGAAAAGCAAATCTCTACTTTGTCAGCTAATGGTCCAATAAATCCCAAAGATCCAAATTCTTTGCTCAGCATACTATGTTCAATCACCTTTAAAAATGAAGAAACAAAAGAAATTTTAGGAATGATTGATATAGGAGCATCCAAATCTCACATCCTTGAGGTTGAAATTCCAAGTTCCCAAGTTTCACCAATGAAAATTGTTTATGGAACTCAAATGGATGGAACTCAACTCAAATATGATAAATGTTTAAAGGATGCAAAAATTTCTTCTGGGATTGGGGATCAAGAACTTTTGGAGAAAAATACACATTACCTCAAGTAATTATACATAATATCCAAAATAATTATCCTTTCATAATTGGCTTAGACTTTATCACTCACTTTCAAAGCCAAATGACAATTTCTTTTGATGGAGTACAGTTTGCAAAACGAACAAGTTACACCCCAATAGATAGATATGTCATGAACCTTCCAAAACCAAAAGAAATAGTACCCCAAAAAATCCAAAATAAATTAAATAAACATTTTGAATATAATAGTAATTATTTAAGTATTGATGAAAAGTTTTCTGATGATTTATTAGAATATGATTATATACCAAATCTCTCAGAAAAGACTTTGGAAATATTTGATGATTTTATAGATTATCAGTGTTTTAATAACTTAGTCAACGAAGAAGAAGAAATATATGTAAATATAGAAAAAACTCTTTCAAGTTTGCAAAAAGAAGGAAGTAGAAATAATAAGCAAATAAAGAAAGTAGAAAGAGAGAGTCCAGAGAAAGTTCGAAAGTTGTACTCATCTCAAATCCTTTGTAATCTGCACTCTTTCAAGTATGTATAAAATATATTCCCAGTTATTTTCTTTAATGTGTTATTTAGCTTAAAGAAATTCTTTGGCAAAGAGAATAGTTTGTAGCTTTTATTTGTTTCATTGTTCTATATTCATATACTTATATATATATATATATATGAAGAGATTCTTGTCTCAGGCTGTCTTCAACTTCTTTCTCAGAGATCTTTAGAAAGGAAAGATAATTGTTTTTCATGACCTACACCACTATGAAGAGTATGAAAGTTAAACTTGAATAGCCTGGTAGAAAAGAAATTCTTTACTACCTAGCCCTACGGGAGAGTATCCATTTGAAGCCGAGAATGACGTTTTAGGAGAAATCACCAGGGATTTGGAAATCAAGTTTTCTTGATTGGGTTGGTCACTAGCTTTCTTGGGAAATAGGGGGGGGTTTTGAAAAACTTGGAAAGATAATGATTGAAAGAGGTTACTTTATGTATTAAATAGGATATACATTTATATAAATTTAATATATAATAATAATA